TGGGGCGGCGGGCGGGACAACCAGCGCACTCTGGGTGGAGTCGCTGACCTTCCATCTCCATTTCGGGCGCACTCTGGGCTACGCCGATTTCCTCCGGGAAGTCCCGCACTGAAGCTCTCCGTGCGTACCCATGTCGCGCGCTACCCGCAGCGACAGCTAAACTTATGCAAAATGGACACCGTTGGCTGTTCTGCCCGCGCCTCCGGGCAACAATTCCTGTCGCGACCACCCAAACCCTTGACATCCACCCAGCGGTGGTCAACAAATCCTCTTCCAAATGAAAAGGGCTTGCTGTTGGGCATCGTACCCAAAGTTTCCGCGCCCATCCCGGGCAACGAGAGCAGGCACAGGACGCTTCTACGAGCGGGTGCCGGGCAAAAGCCCGGAACGAGTACCCGGCACGAGACGCACACGAGGCGCCCACGGACGGGCCCACCTCGAAGCCTCCTACTCGGGGTCCGAAGTGATGGCGTCGGAGGATCGCCTCGCAGCGCCGACGCATCGGCGATGCATCGGCGGCGTCGGCGGTGCATCGGCGACGCCGGCGCGGCGGAGAAGATCGGGCCCCGGGTCGAGCCGCATCGGCGATGCATCGGCGACGCGGCGCGACCCTCCGAGCCAATCCCCCCGGACCCCATCTAGGAGGCCCGGACGACCGCCCAACCACGCACGAGAGCGAGTGGGAAGCCCTCAGCGTGAGCAGTTTTTGGGGGGAAGAAAGGCGTGCACTCTCTCATGTCTGCAAGGCGTTGGAGCTCTGGCAGCACGTCAGCAGCTCTGTCACAAAATGGGGGGGGGCGCGGCTAGGAGGGAAGCAGGCGGACCTCCAAGGAGAGGGCGAGCCTTCTCTTAAGGGCTCGTCATTGTCGTCGTCGTCACTGTCATCGTCATCGTCATCGTCGTCGTCATCATCGCCGTCGTCGTCGCCGTCGTCATCGTCGTCGTCATCGTAGATGCGCTAGCGGGAGGTGCGCCTCGTCTCAACTCGTGCGGAGAGTAGACTCGACCTGACACTGGGGAACGCGAAGGGGGGGTTGCGGGTCTGGAGACGGATAATGCTGAGATGCGCCAGCGGGAGGTGCGCCTCGTCTGAACTCGTGCGGAACGGAGGCTGTGGCCTGGAGGGCCCCAAAGAGAGCCCCTTCGCCTTCTAAGAGTCGAACAGGGGATCGACTACAGAACTGATTTACCCAAATTTTGGATTCCCCAATCGCATCTGCGAAAAGTGCGGGAGGTGGGCGGCCTTCTGAGAAGGCGAGGGGCCTTTTTCAAGTAGGGTATCGACTCCAGAAGTGATTTGGCCCAAAGCTGATTTCCCAGTCGCATCTGCGAAAAATACGCGGACGGTTCCGTAGATCTGCGGACGACACTACGCAACTTTCGCGGACTCGGCGGGGAACTCAATCTTGGGATCAACTGATTATGTTGTCGATCCCCTACTTGAGCGAGGCCCCTCACCTTCTTAGCAGGCCGTCCCCCTCGCGCGCCCCCCCCAACCCAAATCCGCCAAACACCGCCCCCCAGACCCCTCCCAGAGTCCCTCCCGGTCAGTTTCCCGAGCCGCGTCCAGCCGTGGAGGGAGAACCTCCAGAAACGCCCCAGCAGCCCTCCAAAACAGCGACGGCGTCGACGGCGTCGGTGCTGGCAGGGTCGTCGACCCCTCGGCGTGCGCCGCCAGGCACGGGCGAGGCATCGGCAAAGCAGGGCCGCAAGGCCTCCTGGGCAAAGTCGCACAGGCGCATGGCCGTGGCGATGCTGAAGCGGCAGCGCGTCTCCGCCGACACCGCGTCCTCCTGAGCCGCACCGCCGCGGCTGCCGCCTCCGCGCACTGCGCACGGACGCCGGCCCTGAGCGCCGCCAGGACAGGCACAGGGGAGGCCAGCCCACAAGAAGCCTCCCACAGGAAGCCCCAACCCTGAGACCCCAGGCCGCCCAGGGACCCTTGGTGTGGGAGCGTCGCGCCGTCCCGGGCGAAACCAGCGAAGCCCCGGAAGCCCAGGGCACCCTGGAGGCGAGCAGGGTGTCTCTTGGCATGGGCCTCGACGGGTGCTCGGCAGACCCGGACGCGGGCCGACCCTCGGACTCCGGGCGTTGCAGCTCTGCCACCCCGGGCGTCGTCGCCCGGTTCCGGGCCCAAGGGCCGTGCTCGGAACTGGTCTGGCTCGACAAGGTGCCCCAGGAGGGCGGGGTCCAGGGGGCCCCGTCGTGTTTTGTTCGCGATGCCGCAGTGCTTCGCGACGTCGGGCCTCAGGGGCAGGCCCAGATTCGGCCTGGTGCAGGAAGGTCGCGCTTTCCTGCCGCTGTCCTGCGTCTTCCCGCGCGAGCGGCGCGTTCCTGCCAGTTTCCTGGCACCTTCCCGCGCGCCGTCAACAAGCACACACTACTGGGTACCCGTGTCAGTGCGGTGGCACAGGTAAGAGCTGGTAGAGCCACAGGCCAGCGATCAAACATGCTTAAACTTAGAATGTCGTTCGAATACCCCAATGATGGGAACACTTCCTGAACGGCAGTGCTTGGCATTGCTTGGAATTGTTTGGGTTTGCACTGCGTGGTTAGGCATTGCACTGCTTTCCATTGCATTGCATTGCGTCGCGTTGCTTTGCATTGCTTGGCGTGGAATTGCTTGGCAGTGAACGGAATTGCTTGGGATTGCTTGGTATTGGTTGGCATTGCCTGACGTTGCTTGGTTTTGCTTGGTGTTACTTTGATTTACTATGCATTTCTTCTAGGCGTTTCTTAGTATTGCTTGGCACTGCTGTGCGCTGCTTGGAATGCTTGGTATTGTTTGGCATTGCTTGGCGATGCTTTACATTGCTTGGCGGTGCTTGATATTATTTGGTATTGCTGGTCGTGAATTGGCACTGCTTGGCATGGCTTGGCGTTGCTTGGCATCGCTCGGAAACAAGACCAAGCAACCCTGGGAAACTGCTTCCTCCAAAACAATACGGGAACAAGGCCACGCAGGCCAGGTGACACCTCTTCCGAAACAGTCAGCAAACAAGACCAAGCGACCCGAAAGAGGCCTTCTGAAACAGGAAGGGAACCAAGACCGCGCAGCACAGGGAAGGCCCCTGGAACAGTTTCCTCCCTTGCTCTGGTGGGCTTTGGCCCTCGTGCGCTCACGGGGCTCTTCTTCCAGCGCGCTTGGCCAGGGAGGAGGAGGAGGAAGACGAGGAGCGAGGGAGGGAGGGGCCCTGTGCCACCAGCTGCCCAGCCAAAAAGGCGCAAGCCCCGCCGGGGAGTTTGGTGGCAACTCATGGGAGCCTCGCATACCATCCTGTCGGCTCTTGCGAATCGACGCCCGTCGACGCTAAATCGACGCCAATCGACGCTAAATGGGCGCTAACCGACGCCACATCGGCGCTGTCTCATCCACTCCCAGGCGCTAATCGACGCTAGTCGACGCTGAAGACGGAACTACGAGGGTACACCAGGCTCCCATGATTTGCTACCGAGAGGGAGGGCCGGCGGAAAACAGACAGGCACTGAGTCCACTCGCAGCGAACCAGCTGCCCCTTGCCTGCCACCGACCGACGCTCTCGAGCGCCACCCCCACGCTGGCTCCCGCGGGCCCGTACGGAGGCAAGCTGCTCCCCCAGGGTGGACCAGACCGACCGCAGGGCGACGAGGACGGACAGACAGGACGACGACCGGCAGACGCACGGAAAGACAGACAAGACGCCGACACACACACACACAGACTTTTGGCGTCGGCGGCGAGGCAGAGCGACTGCGCTGGCATACAACAGCGAACCAAGCCGCGATGCACGACGTGGGGGGGGGGGGGGAGGAGAAGGGGGAGGAGGAGGGGGAGGAGGAGGAGGAGGAGGAGGAGGAGGAGGAGGAGGAGGAGGAGGAGGAGAAGGAGGCGGAGGAGGAGGCGGAGGAGGAGGAGGGAGGAGGAGGAGGAGGAGGAAGGCCAAGCACAGGCAGGAGAGGAGGAGGAGGGAGAGGAGGAGGAGGGAGAAGAGGAGGAGGAGGAGGAGAGGAGGAGGAGAGGAGGAGGAGGAGGAGGGGGAGGAGGAGGGAGAGGAGGAGGAGGAGGAGGAGGAGGAGGAGGAGGAGGAGGAGAGGAGGAGGAAGGGAGAAGAGAGGCGGAGGAGGAGGCGGAGGAGGAGGAGGAGGGAGGAGGAGGAGGAGGAAGGCCCCCCAGCACGGGCAGAAGAGGAGGAGGAGGAGGAGGAGGGAGAGGAGGAGGAGGGAGAGGAGGAGGAGGAGGAGGAGGAGGAGGAGGAGGAGGAGGAGGAGGAGGAGAGGAGAGAGGAGGAGGAGGAGGGAGGAGGAGGAGAAGAGAGGAGGCGGAGGAGGAGGGGGAGGAGGGGAGAGAGAGGAGGAGGCCCCAGCACGGGCAGGAGAGGAGGAGGAGGAGGAGGAGGGAGAAGGAGGAGGAGGAGGGGAGGAGGAGGAGGAGGAGAGGAGAGGAGGAGGAGGAGGAGGAGGAGGAGGAGGAGGAGGAGGAGGAGGAGGAGGAGGGAGGAGGGAGAGGAGGAGGAGGAGGAGGAGGAGGAGGAGGAGGAGGAGGAGGAGGAGGAGGAGGAGGAGGAGGAGGAGGAGAGAGGAGGAGGAGGAGGAGGAGGAGGAGGAGGAGGAGGAGAGGAGGAGAGGAGGGAGGAGGAGGAGGAGGAGGAGGGGGAGGAGGAGAGGGAGGATTGGGAGGCCGGGCCCGCTCGGAGCAGAGCCGCCGACGCGCAGGCAGGCGCCGAGGCCGGCGACGGACGGCCGCAGCCCCGGAAGGGAGCACCGCGCCGTGGGAGCACGCGAGGCCCGCCCCCGGGGGCGCCGACAGGAATGAAGGGGCCCTGGGACACACAAATGAATACACACAAACAACAGGATCACCAATATTTTCTGGGTTTTTGTCTTCCCCCCTCTTCCTATATTTTCCCACATTTTCCTTGGGATCGACGATTAATTGTGTCTGTGTGTTTTCTCTCCTCCTGGAGGAAGAAGGCCCCAGGGTTAGGTCGGGCGTGTCCCCCTACAGGGGGATTGTGGGCGAAAAACAAAAAATAGTCAACAAGTACCCCAAAACGGTCAACAAAAAAAACTCAAAAATCGTCCCCAGACTAGTTTTGGCCTATGTTTGAAGATTCCCCCCGTAGAGGGACAGGCCCGACTTAACCCCAGGGGCCAGGAGTGGAGGAGTGGATCACGAGCCGCGCGTATGCGTGCGTCAGACTTTCCTGCCCCCAAGCCTGTAGCGTAGGGGCGAACAGAAGACGTGGAAAAAAGACCAGGCAAGCGGGGAGAGGGTCGGCTGGCCAGGCCCCAGAACCACGGGTTCTGCACAAACGCATAGGAGCCCCTCAGGCAAAGCATCAATGGGAAACAATACAAACGGATGGCTCTCGCATTTCCTGGCGTCTGAAGCCGCTTCGGTTGAAAGCACGGGTCCGGGACGAGATAACAGTCTCTGGGAAGGTGTCGAGAGCTCTGGGGGCACCGTCAAGACATCAGAAGTGTGGGCGGGGGAGCACCGCGCAGCTATCCGAACCACGAAGCCTTGCTGGACGCGCCAGCGTTGGCCTCTGGAGGGTGTCTACGGTTCTTGTCGCCGGCCTCCGCCGAGCCTCTGCGGGCAGACGCCCCCCGCCCTGCTCCCGCAGGACTTCAGCGGGTCTCAACCGAGGGCGAGATGCCAGTCCACGTGTCCTTGAAGATGGAGCCCCTGGTCGGGACGCCATGCATCTGGAGGAACAGAAAACGGCCAGGACCTCCAGCGCAGATCCAAGGAATCCGCGCGGCACTCCGAAAGAGTATGCCTATGCCGTCTTTCTTCTTCGAGCCTCGACGATTCACCATCGCTGAGACCGTGCGCGTGGGAATGAACGACAAGTGCCAACAGCACCCCATATCCTTCGGGAGGGGATCTAAGTTAGCAGGGCCGAAAACACTCGGGATACGGGGTCGTGCTGTGCAACTGTGTCAGACGAGACCACCCATGCGTTCAGGGATCTCCCTAGATCGGGGATGGACAGACCCCCCTTTAGTAAAACGTGGTTTGGTGAAAACGACCTGAGGCCCAAACCTGGCGGGCGCAAGCCTGGAAAATAACGGCCACGGCGCCCTCTCGAGAACCGAAAATGGACAATTCACTAATCGACGTGTTACTGTTGGGGGTTCTGTCCACCCCCGACTATATAGCCTATGAAAAACCGAGGACCTATGACAGGCCACGAGTTCACTGTGCTTTCAGGGCTAGGGGCTGTCCCGTGCTGATTGGCTGCATGCTCGCCTTCGGCGGCGCTGGGAGCACCGAGAGCGGAAGTTTGCAGCAGGACCCTCCCAGGGGCCTCAATAGAGGTCTCCTATATATAGGGTCCGAGTAGATGGGGTCGGAGGAACTCGCCGCATCCCCGATGCATCGGCGATGCATCGCCGATGCGCCGACGATGCACCGGCGACGTCGGCGGTGCATCGGCGACGTCGGCGTCGAGAAAAGTGGGCTCCACATCGAACCGCACCGCCGATGCATCGGCGATGCATCGGCGATGCGGCGCGATCCTCCGACCCCACCTAGGACCCAATTGTCTGGCCAAGACCGGCACGTCCCCCCCCCCCCAAAAAAAAGACGCCGACCGCCGCGCCGAGCCGAGCTGAGCCGAGTCCTGCGCGGCAGGACCCTCCAGTAGGAGCTCGACCACAAGAGACCTTCCACACAAGAAACCCAACCCTGAGACCCCAGGAAGTCCGCTGATCTTTGATATGGGAACGTCACGCTCTCCATCGGAAAACCATCGAAGCCCAAGAAGACCCAGGGCATCCTGGAGGCAAGCAGGGTGTTTCTTGGCACGGGTCTCCACTGTAGACCCCTCTCAGGGACCCCAAACATTCGGCCGAGACCGGCCCGTTCCCCCCCCCCTCTCAGGAGGAGGAGGAGGAGGAGGAGGAGGATCAGGAGGAGGACGAGGAGGAGGAGGAGGAGGAGGAGGAGGAGGAGGAGGAGGAGGAGGAGGGAAGAAGGAGGAGGAGGAGGAGAAGGAGGAGGAGGAAGGAAGGAGAAGGGGGAAGCGAGGAAGAGGGAGACCAGAGCAAGCCCAGGCTGCATCGACGATGCTGCAGCGGGTTGCAGCTGGACCGGCCGCTCGGAAGCTGGAGAGGCGGGTCGAAGCTGGAGAGTCGGCGAATGGCATCCTGAGGCCTCGTTGGGCCTTTCTGGAGCTCCGCGAACCGCGGGCGATGCGCGAGGGGCGGCAACGGAGAAGGCGGAGGAAGAGGAGAAGGCGGAGGAGGAGGCGGAGGAGGCGGAGGAGGATTGGAAGGTCTTGCGGCTGGTGCCGCCGACCCTGAAGGGGGACAACGACGACGACGACGGCGGCGTTTTTGTTATTCGGCGTTTCGACATTGGGCGGAAGGGGGGGGAGGAGGGGGGGGGTCTGGCTCCGCACCTCTGCTTAGTGCGCTGTTTGCAGCAGTGCGTCCCATGGGGGAGACTCCACCTGCTCGAAACGGGCGCCAAAAACAGCCAAGATCTACTCCAGTGGGGGAGGGGGGGGGGGGGGGCGAGGGCCGGCGCCGATCGGCAAAACAACAAATCAAAAACAATCACATTCTGGAAACCCTGAACCCAAAAACATGTTCGCCGGCTTCCGCCGGCTTCCGCCGGCGGAGGCGGCCTCGTTTCACTTCCACCGACCTTCCGCCGCCCTTCCGCCGCCTTCCGCGGCGGAAGAGATGGCAACTCCTTCGATCGTCGAATGCAAGGCCCTTTCAGGAACGCCTCATGTGTGCTCCACCACCCGCGATACGTTTGTGGACTTCTGCCTGACCGGGCCATCGCTCGGACGTCCACTCCCTATGCATTTGTCGGTTTCGCGCGTGCATTGTTTCGCAAGGTGGCCCAAGATGCTCCTCGATGGTCCTCGCCGAGAAAACGCACACGTCCGAGCAATGCCAAGCAACTACCTTGCATTGTAGGTGCTTCTCGGTTGCATCCTGGGAGTGAGCAAGGAGTAATTCAGCCAAGCTGGATAGGAGTGCTGGCATCACCTTGAAGCTAAGCCAAGGTGGGCTAACTTGACCTGGCCGAGCCCAAAGCCGAGCTGCTTAGGCTGAGCCGGCCCAACCGCATCCAGGCTGAGCCAAAACGAGCTGCGCTGAGAGAAGCCAAGCTGCCCCGGAAGCGAGGTGCACCTGCCGCCCCTCCAGGCAAAGGACGCAAGGAAGGACGCGCTGGGCATCCCAGAGCGGTTTGGTGACAGACCGTGCGGTGACCTCGAAACCCCCAAAGGCCTCACCGCACGGTCCGTCCCCGCACGGCTCTGGGACCCCTGGGGGGCCCCCGCCGCCCGAGACGCCCCAGGAGAGCGACCCACGCTCCAGAACTGCGCGGCCACCCCGAATCCCCACTGGCTCGCCGCACGGTGTGGTCACCGCACCGCTTGGGGACCCCCGAGCATGCCCCAGAGGTGCCGCAGGCGGGCACGCCGCATCTCCTGGAGCGCCTCCTGCGGTGCCGGGCGCAGCAGGACCGCGAGCAGGAACGCGAAGAAGCAGCGCACGGTGGACCTGCTTGCGCGCGCGCCCCCCCCCCCCCCCCCCCCGGCACGGCACAGGCGGGCCCACACGTCCCCCCTCCGCTTGCAGTCTGTTCCGCCGCCTTTGCCCATCCGGCTCCCTGGCCTGCGCCCGCCTCCTCCTCCTCCTCCTCCTCCTCCTCCTCCTCCTCCTCCTCCTCCTCCTCCTCCTCCTCCTCCTCCTCCTCCTCCTCCTCCTCTCCTCCTCCTCCTCCTCCTCCTCCTCCTCCTCCTCCTCTCCTCCTCCTCCTCCTCCTCCTCCTCTCTCCTCCTCCTCCTCCTCCTCCTCCTCCTCCCCCCTCCCTCCCCCTCCCCCCCCTCCCCTCTCCTCCTCCTCCTCCTCCTCCTCCTCCCCTCCTCCTCCTCCTCCTCCTCCTCCTCCTCCTCCTCCTCCTCCTCTCCTCCTCCTCCTCCTCCTCCTCCTCAGATCTCCGAGGATCTGACGCTTCCAGTCCCAGCGGTGTTCCTCGATGGCGGCCTCCGGGGCCCGTTATATCGGGCCCCCGGGGCTATCAGGCTTGGGTCCGGAAGCCCTGGGGCCGCGGATTGAAGACGTCTGGGACTTTAGCTGCTCATTATGTTTTTTTCTCCTAGAGCCGCCCGCTCCGCTCGTGCGTCGAGGCTGCGTCGACTGTGACGAACTCGAATATCGGATTTGAGTCGAACTTGAGCCGAAGGAGAGTTCAACCAGAATCGAACAGATTCGTCAGGTGGACCCCAGAGGTGGGCCCCAGAAAGGGCCCCCAACGAAAAGCAGTCAACGCTCTCTTTCCCCGCCTGGACGAGGATCTCCCGGCCACGCGCAGAAGGCTTCTTAGAAGCACCCTGCTCCTCCTCCCCCTCCTCCTCCTCCTCCTCCTCCTCCTCCTCCTCCTCCTCCTCCTCCTCCTCCTCCTCCCCCTTTGGACACTCATCCGTCACCTGCCCTGGTCCTCCTCGTGCTCCTCCTCCCGCCGCCGCCGCCGCTGCCGCTCCTGCACCTGCTCGTGCGGCTCCTCCGCTTCCCAAGCAGTCGCCTCCCATCTGCTCTCCACCAATCCTTGGCGCACGGGGCAAATAGCAGCATTCGGGGATCTGCTGACCCGGGTCAATCCACACCCCGGTCAGTCAGGCTTTGCAGGATCCGGCAAGATCCTGCGTCCCAACCTGGGCCAGTGCAGCCCTGGCGCTGCAGGCTCCTGAAAGTTCCAGCGCTCTGGCTGACCCTTTGCATTGACCCCCGTCTCTTAAGCCTCTTGAGCCCCGAAGTACAAACTGGCTCGGTTCCCCGGCTGTCCGACGAGCAGACTGCCAGCCGGGAAAGCAGAAGATGGCGTGGCTGCCGATGACATGCACCCGCCGCATCAGAGCGATGCGCACATTACGCCTAAAAACTTGACGCCACAGCCCGCGACCCAACATGAAATGAACAACAACAACAACAACAACAACAACAACAACAACAACAACAGCAGCAACAACAACAACAACACCAACACCAATTATAACAATTACAACAACAACAACAACAACAACAACAACAACAACAACAACAACAACAACAACAACTACAACAACAACAACAACAACAACAACAACAACAACAGAAGCAGCAGCAGCAGCAACAACAACAACAATTACAACAGCATCATCAACAACAGCAGCAGCATCAGCAGCAACAACAACAACAACCACAACAACAACAACAACAACAACAACAACAACAACAACAACAACAACACCAACAACAATAACAACAACAATGACAACGACAACAACGACGACGACAATCAGTTTACCCTCATGCTCGATGTTTCCACACGAAGCATGCGATCATCATGACAACCATCCCCATCATGGGGGATGATTGTTCTATCGCAGGGTGTGTGATTCCCATTCCCAGATCTCCCGCCCAATGAGGTCTTGCAAACATCTCCTCCGAGGAGTTTCAACATATCCCGTCTCGAAAACGCATGCCCGCGCTTTGCTGCGCCGATGCGAGACCGCCAGTGGAGCCCCAGCCAAAGGTAAAGCACAAGGAAGTATCGAGCGACAGGATTGCCTTGTTGGGGATGGGGGCCGTCGGCGGCGAGGCAAGGACCTGGCCCTGAATAGAAAGAGAGGAAGTCTCGAGCAGGGCCGCTGTTGTTGCTGGGAGCGGCGCCAATGCTGAAGAGAGTAGGGCGTTAGTCCAGCGTAAAGCAAAACGAAGTCTCGAGCGGGACCGTTGGTTTTGTTGCAACGGCGGTTTTCGGCGGCAAGGAGGAACACGGGAGGAAGTCTCGAGCGGGAGCCGTGGTTTTGTCGGGACAGGGGCTGTCGGCGGCGAGGAACAGCACCGTCCTGAGGAAAAAATGAGGAAGCCTCGAGCGGGAGCGATGTTCTTGCTGGGAGCAGCGCCAATTCTAAAGAGAGTAGGGCGCCAGTCCAGCGCAAAACGGGAGGAAGTCTCGGGCGGGAGCGCTGGTTTTGTCGGCGCGGCGGTTTTCGGCGGCGAGGAGGAGCACCGCCTTGAGTAAAAAACTGAGGAAGTCTCGAGCGGGAGCGTTGTTAGTGCTGGGGGCGGCGCCGATGAGAGAAAGAGCAGCGCGCCAGTCCAAGGTAAAACGATAGGAAGTCTCGAGCGGTAGCGCTGGTTTTGTTGGAACGGCGGCTTTCGGAGGCGAGCAAGAGCACTGGCCATGAGTAAAAAATGAGGAAGTCTCGAGCGAGAGCGTTGTTGCTGTTGTTGGCGGGCCGGTTTTGGCGCCCCCCCAAGCCGCTCGAACGTGAGCATCATAATCAATGAAACTGTAGCCGGCGCCGAGGCGAGAGCGCCAGGGCGCCTGGGGGGTGTCCAACAACAATACATCTTGGATGAGTAACATTCAACAACAGCAAACACATCAACAACAACAACAACAACAACAACAGCAGCAGCAGCAGCAACAACAACAACAGCAGCAGCAGCAACAACTACAACAGCAGCAGCAGCAGCAACAACAACAACACCAACAACCACGACGACGACAACAACGACAACAGTAACGACAACAACAACAACAACAACAAAACAAGACCGAACAGTGGCCCTGATGCACCACACGACCGGCAAACCGCACATTTCCAGGAGAGGTTGCGGGCCGGGCGGGACGCGGAGGAGGAGGATGGTAGAAAGAGGAAAAGGATGACGACGCAGATGACGAAAAGAGAAAAGGGAAGAGGGAGGAGGAGGCGAGGAAGGGAAGCGCTTTCTTCACTACCCAATACAGCCAACCGCGGACGCGGCAGGCCCGGAGCAGAGGGGAGGGAGAAGAGATGAAGAGCATGAGCATGAGCATGTTTGTTCACTAAGTGAAAAGTGGCCTTACACCTGAAGGGGGAACTCCGAACGGCCCTTTGTCGGGCATCCTTCTCGGCCGTACTGAGCACTTTGGGCCAGTGTCCTTGTCGGGCCCGCCTTGAATACTCGGTTCCCGGAGGTGTGGCTTTCAAATCGCATCCCTTGTGTAAGTTACAAGATAGCTTACTGGCAAGACTATCGCAAGTACCACAGAACCAGAGACCTCGCTTAGTACAGAGGATGATGCTATGGCTCTTATGGACCCAGCCCCCCCCCCAATATATAGACATTATCACTAGCCCCAAGGGTGTGAAACGATCCACTCAGGGTTACAAGGAAAAAGCATGGGCTGGCCTTCCAAAGGCATGCGGTCGCAAGGGTCGCGGACCCGAAACACCTGGAACAACGACGGCCACGCTCTCCCAAAACATGGGAAGTCGAAAAGTTGGCTACTACTGACGGTGCTGGCTGGCGGAGGAGGGACAGCAGCATCATCATCATCATCAGCATCAGTATCATCATCGGCGTTGTCGTCGCCATCGTCGTCATCATCATCATCATCATCATCATCAGCATCAGCATCATCATCATCATCCGCGGCGTCGTCGACATCGTCATCATCGTCGCCATCGCCGTCAACGCATCGTCATCGTCATCATCATCGTCATCAGCATCATCATCAT